GATTGGTGAGTTTAGTACTGGTGAGCTGAGTGGTGAGTTTAGTCCTGGTGAGCTGAGTGATGAGTTTCGTACTAGTGAGCTGAGTGATGAGTTTAGTACTAGTGAGCTGAGTAGTGAGTTTACTACTGGTGAGCTGAGTGGTGAGTTTAGTCCTGGTGAGCTGAGTGGTGAGTTTAGTCCTGGTGAGCCGAGTGGTGAGTTTGGTACTGGTGAGCTGAGTGTTGATGGAGAGGCCTTCATCCAGCAGTGGATTCACAAAACGATGTAAATTATCATACGTTGTACATAGTCTGTTGTATGCGATGCGTTTAACCACAAGAGTATACATTGCAATTTATAAATAAAATATACATTTAATATCACAGTCGTGTGGTCCTTGTGCTCATAACATTAACGTGCATGACTCATGAGTGATTTTTAAGTTTTGACAAAATTTGTGTCATACATACCTTCACACCACCCGACATCCAAAACGAATACAACAGTGAATGCACGTGTATTTACCCAGGAAAGCCTCCACTGAGTCTCAAGACTTGTATTGTCCTTTCAGGAGGGCCCTACTACATTGGGTTGCTCCGTGGCATTGTCGCCAAGAGTTACCCATTCTGCAGACTAATTGTGGTACAGCGGTGGGCAAAGCATTGGTTGTACGTTCGACATACATACATATATACATACATGCTGGACTTCTTTCGGCACCGTACGTAGCCAACCGCGCTAATCGGAGGTGCGGGGGAAGAACAGCAAACTAAACACAAAAAAATAAGTCCTAAAGAAATGAGTTTTCAATCCTAGATTATTTAAACGTGCCTATAGCTCTAGTGCAGTGGTTCTTAACCTTGTTGGAGGTACCGAACCCCACCAGTTTCATATGCGCATTCACCGAACCCCTCTTTAGTGAAAAATAAAATGTGATTTTTTTCAAATTCAAGACATAGATATGTTTTTTTACTGGTACACAAAATGAGCCGTGCATGAACATTACCTTGTTCAAAGAATAAAACCAACACAATGCATAAACTCACAACAAATTACATACCTGGAAATCAATGTGACTTCTGCTGTTGCCTTTGAGAGATCAGTTCAGATATGCGTGGCTTCACCTTGGCAAGTGCCACTCTCATGTCATTTTCACAGCAAAGTCTGTTCCTTTTCTTCATTTTTATGTCCAGCATCCTCGAAAAGGATTGCTCACAAAGATATGTTGTAACAAATGGTATAAAAAAATCCAGGGCTTTCTTAGCAATAACTGGATACTTGTTCATTTGTCGACACCAAAACGTTGAGAGCGTTGTTGTTCTGAAGAGTTGCTGTTGAACCTGGCTCTGCTGAATTTCAATGATTTCGTCGAGGAATTCATCATTGACATCTGCTGTTTCAACAGCAAACGTGAACGGCTGTCTCACCCATGCTGGATATGACTCTCTTGTAGGGAAATATCCGTCGAGAGACTTTGCAAGCTCATCTAAGTGCGTGGCAATTGTTTGCTTCAGTTCCGTGGATACAGAAATATCTCCGATTCCAGACACATCTTCGATCTTACTTGCACAGTCGTCCAGAAGCGGGAAGTTTGCGAAGTTATTGTTCTCTGTTCGTCGTTTCCATAACGGTAGCTTTTTTTGAAAAAGCCTTCAGGTGTTCTTCCGCTTCCATGATATTGACTCCACCACCCTGCATCTGCTGATTGAGATGATTGAGAGCTGCGAATATATCAGCCATGTACGCTAAAATGAGAATGAACTCAGGATTTTTGAAGCAATCTGCATGGCAGTGTTGGTGCTCTTGCAAAAACAGGGCTAATTCCACACGCATGGCAAAAACACGATTCAGCACCTGTCCCCGGGATAACCACCGAATATTAGAATGGAGCAGAAGTACCTCAAATTCAGAGCCCATTTCTTTACACAGCTCACTGAAGATGCGGTGCCTCAGAGAACTTTTTCGCACATAGTTCACACATTCCACCACAGTTTTTAATACTTCTGTCATTTTTGGAGGTAAGGTTTTTGTTGCCAACGCATGCCTGTGCAGAATACAATGCGTCACAATGATGTGTGGTGCATCGGCCTTTACTAGCGCACCAAAACCAGACTTTCTTCCCAGCATGACTGGAGCTCCGTCCGTACAAACTGCAGAAACCATATCCCATGAAAGATTGTTGTCTCTGAAGAAGTCATCCACAAGCTTCTTCACATCGGCTGCCTTCGTTGTTGTTGTAAGAGGCTTACAAAATAAAAACTCTTCTTTTATCATGTCGTCTTTCACATAGCGTACAAAAACAGCAAGCTGGCTTAGATCAGAAACGTCTGTGGTTTCGTCGAGTTGAAGGCTGAATTTTGCCGGGCTTGAAATCAGATCCGCGACTACTTGAGCCAAGATGTCTTTACTCATGTCTTCTATTCTGTCACTGACGGTGTCATTTGAAAGGGGAATTTGGGATAATTTACCTTCGGCCGCTGTTCCGAGTATCAGATTCGCCATCTTTAATGCAGCTGGTTTCACAAGTGTTTCACCAATGGTGTGTGGCTTGCCCTGCTTTGCGATCAGGTAAGCAACTTCGTACGATGCTGTCAGGATCGGTTTGTTAACAGGTACAAATCCAAGAGCAGGCAGAGTGGCCCTTTCATCGAATCTGGCTCTCTTCACCCTGTATTCAGCAAGTGTTGTGTTCTTGTATTCCCCGTCTCCATGCAGCTTCAAGAAGTGTTCCTTTAGTTTTGCCGGTGCAAGACTAGAGTTGCTCAACTTGACGTTGCAAATCATGCAGATAGGACGCTCACTCCCATCACGTTCCGTGATACATGAGAATCCATGTTGTACATATTCGTCCGACCACTTTCTTCTTTTGCCCGACATAGTCAGTATGGATAAAATATTAAAGAAATCACACGACGTACGACAACAGTCACACGTTGACTACTGAGTATGCACTAAATTCCCCGCAGCGCTGATTGGCCAAGCAGTGTAGCATGATCATCTGCAGCCAGTGATGGCCAAGCGGGCCGTGTGTGTCATCACAAATTTACACAATAATTCAAGTGTGTCCGGACCTCCGTGGCGGGGGCTCTGCCGAACCCCTGAGATCGACTCACCGAACCCCTGGGGTTCGATCGAACCCAGGTTAAGAACCACTGCTCTAGTGTCTTCCCAAAGTCGGAAGGAAGAGCGTTCCAGACGGCTGCAGAAGCGCATCTGTGACCGCCGGCTATTGTTCGATGGCTCGCCAAAAGGTCGCGGATGAATGCGATTACGAGTTGACACGCGCCTCCTGAGCGTAGTGCACTCGTCACACCGAGACCCTGATCATGAACGACAGCGGCAGAGATAGAGAAATCGCGGATCACTTGGGCCCAGCAGCTGCAGAGGTGCGCGGTTCTAATTCCGGCGGCCGCCCTGGTTAATACCCGCCGGGTGATATCAATCGCAATGAACACGCTCGGACTGCTGCTTCACATCACAGCGGACGTTCAAGATCCCGTGACATCATTCGCAAGAGAGGAGGCCAAGTTTGAAAATTATATCGCAAATGATCCACTTGTGGATTAAACAGCAGTAGCGTTCACACCCCCCCCAACCCCCAGTGCCGGATTCTCCAAGTAGCACAAGTACCTACATATGTAGCTACTTGTATAGGTACTTGTATAGCTACATATGTAGCTACATATGCTACGGGCCCCGCACATTCAAGGACCCCGCGCTAAATGCTTTCAAGCTATCAATTCCGGTTGAGTCATTCTCCACTCGCTCGATGACTATAGTACTATACCGCCTTCAACTTTTATGAACGACTGGGTGTTTAAGGTTAGCGATTTGTCGTATTTTCTGGCTGTGCAGCAAATGAAAAAATACAAATACTTTACTATGCAAGTAAAAAATGTGTTTTAATATTTTTGTGTTTTTTTTTTTTTATTTAGGGCCCCTTTATAACATATGCTACAGGTCCCGAACCAGCTCCATCTGGCACTGCCCCCCCCCCCCCCCCCCCCCCACTACTGCTTGGCAGGACCCTCTTGAAAGAAGGAGTCACGAGACCCTGTGAGGCTTTCCTGCGTAAACAAGCGGTACGATTAGTCAACAGTAACAATAACAGATGTTGGGCTGTGGGCAGGAGGCGAACTCGGGCGGCTGGAGTGTGTTTTTATTATTATAAATAATCCGCCAGAGTTCCGCAACACGTGGCGTGCGGTCTGTGCGAGCGGTCTGTGCGAAGCGGCGATTGGTCGAGGCCGCCGCGGTCCGCGCGTGAAAGTTTGGATCCCTGACCGCGATTCGGGAAGAAACTCGCAAAGATGAATCCACGTGCACCCCGCCACCGCCCCCCCACCCCACCACGACGTCCCGAACTGGCAATTATGTACCCAGCGCACAGAGCCGCGTGAGCAGTCACCCCGCTGGCCGGCTGGCTCGCACTCCACCAAGTCTCTCGTTCCCTACCTCCCAAAGTCTGCCGATTGACTCGTTCTCTCGCGGGCTATCGCGCTTCAACGGAGTCATTCGTCTCGAGTCATTCACTGCGCTCATTCAGTCATCCGTCATAAATCCTCGACGAAGTGTCAGTCGTCCGTAACTAATAATCATCATCATCATCATCATCCGTCAATCAGCATTCCAACAATTATTGTCATCGTTCGTTGCAATGCATAGTTCATCATAATCTCCATCATTATAAACAAAAAATGATCAAATATTATTTTCATCATTAATTACAAATCATTACCATATTTATATATTGCACACGGTTAGCTATTGCCGTGATCGAAGGCGCTCTATAAATATAAAATAATGCAAGGTAATCACCCGTAATTATAAATTAGCGTCAACATCATAATCCATAAATCATACATTTATAAAGCATTATACCATCATCCATACATCATTATCATCCATCAATCACCAATCCATCAATCATTATCAATGCATCATTATCAACACCATCAACATCATCAGTCAGCAATCCATCAATCTTTATCAATTCATCATCAACACCATCATCAATCACCAAATTATCAATCATTATTAGTTTATCATCATCAACACCATCAGTCACCAATCCATCAATCATCAGTTGATCATCATCATCATCATCATCTCTCAATCATCACTTACAAATTATCACTGTGATCGACGTCCTCTGGACGAGAGACAAGCGGACACACGAAGCCAGGTAATGTGTCGATTAAACTTCACTCATCGGTGATGTGGGGTGGAGGGAGCGGTGGTGCAGTGGTTTAGGGAGCCCTGACCCAGCACCGCGCGTTTCCCTAACGCAGGGCTCGGCATGCGGCTCTTTAGGGACTGGCTTCGTGATGCCTTCATTCTTAAGGACCCACCGCGTCTCCTATTCAGCACTCAGTGCATTGGGGATCTTGACAATTTTAGGTTTTTTTCCTATATATACCGAATTCGATTAAAAAAATGCCTCTACTTGTTATTTTGCTTTATCGACCCCTGCCCTAAACGGTGTCCCGGATAATGATAGCACCATCGATTAGAGTTAATTTTTTTGTTTGATTTGTATTCTTCTTTTTAACAGCGCCTGTGTTGTTTGTCTCTAAACTGCGATTCTTAAAATATGCTATTGTTAGTTTTAACGCTCGGTTAGTAACACTCAGCGCGTGCTCTCCAGTTGCCTGGGTCAAAAGTGTGCAAAGTTTTGCCCAATCCTGGCCAGCTGCTGCAACAATCTTGATTTGAAGCTTTCGTGACTGCAGGAATCCATACTCTTTGGTTCTTTCGGTAAAGTCACGTAGGTAGAAAATAAAATAAATCACGACGTTTCGATTGATGGTGGTGTTGATGATGACGTATCGATTGCAACGCATGCTTGTGCTCCGCCTCAATCTTTATTTGAAGCTTTCGTGACTGCAGGAATCCATACTCTTTGGTTCTGTCGGTAAAGTCACGTAACACAAGCGGCCTGATGACGGCCGCTTGTGTTGCGATCGAAACGTCGTGACGTGTTTTATTTTATTTCTAACTACGTGACTTTACCGAAAGAACCAAAGAGGAGGGAGCTCGTGCTAATTAGGTTCGATTCCTCCTCTGTTGGAGGAGCACGGCCCACGGTGATGTCAGTGCCGTGCGGGGTCTGTAGAACATGTTATAAAGGGGCCCTAAATTAATAAAAAAAAACACGTAAATATTTAAAAGACATACATTTTTAACTTGCATAGTAAAGTAATTGTATTTTTTTTTATTTGCTATACGACCAGATAATGCGACAAATCGCTAACCTTAAACACCCGGCCGTTCATAAAAGTTGAAGGCGGTATAGTACTGTAGTGATAGAGCAAGTGCAGAATCACTAAACTTGAAAGCATGGGCCCTTGAAAGTGCATGGCCCGCAACATATGTAGCTACTACACGTGTAGCTACTACACGTGGTGTAGCTACTTGTGCTACGAGGATAATCCGGCACTGGGTGGTGTAGGTCCCCAGATGGACATCTCGTGGCACCGTGGATGCACATTGTTTCCACTTTCAATGCGTTGCTCCATATCGTGTCGATGGCTTCTTCTTTTACGATCGTCGTTTGCGTCGTCGTTGTTCATGGCGACATTTCATCACGCAGCCGCGGTCACCGCTAGTGTTGACTTTTACCAAAACGGTGATCGGGTTTCAACTGGGACTTTGCTGCTTGCCGGACCTACCCCATTCCCCACCCCACCTCCCCCGCCCTACCCCATCATCCCCACCCTCCCCCACCCCACCCCACCCTCCCCAACCCTACCCCACCCTCCCCAACCCCACTCCATCCTCCCCAACCCCACCCCACCCCATCATCCCCACCCTCCCCCCCACCCCACCCCACCCTCCCCCACCCCACCCCACCCTCCCCCCACCCCACCCCACCCTCCCCCCACCCCACCCCACCCTCCCCCATCCCACCCCACCCTCCCCAACCCCACCCCACCCTCCCCAACCCCACCCCACCCTCCCCAACCCCACCCTCCCCCCACCCTCTCCCATGCCACCCTCCCCAACTCCCCCCACCCCACCCTCCCCCCCACCCCACCCTCCCCCCCACCCTCCCTCCACCCTCCCCCCACCTCACCCCACCCTCCCCCACCCCATCCCACCCAAACCCACCGCACCCCACCCTCCCCCCACCCCACCTCACCCTCCTCCACCCCACCCCACCCTCTCCCACCACACCCTCTCCCACCCCACCCCACCCTCCCCCATCCCACCCCCTACCGGGGCGAACAGACCAACGCAATGGGAGCCCCGGGACAGCGACCGCTGATGCTGTTCGCGGCGTCTTTGTGGTGCTTCGTAGCAGGTGAGAGGGGTCGACCCGCCTCTACGTTAGCGAGCGCCCATTGCGTAATGTACGTGGAACTTCTCTCGCAACGGCGCGAAGCCAGCAGAGGTTGCTTTGCCACTGAACCGCGCAAAACAAATGGCTCGGTGACAGGCACGCTGGCCGTCAGGCTGCCCAACCACTCAAGATATTCGTGGTGATTACGATCATGGAGACAGCAATTGGTGGAGTGGTGGCGCAGTGGTTAGCACACTGTGCTAAGAACCCAGCAACATGAGTTGAAGTGTCAGTCACAGTGGCCTGTGGTATATGAACCAGTCCTTAGTCCCTCTCCTACACCTGCCCTTCATCAACTCGCACTGGCCAACGTTGGTGAAGTATGGTTCAAAACACCGCCCATAACTGACACCGCACGGAGAGCCCTTCATCCACATGTTGAACTTCTTTTGCACCGTACGTAGCCTACCGTGCTGAGCGGAGGTGAGGGGTAAGGACAGCAAACTAAACACAACGAGCAGCTCTAAAGAAATACGTTTTCATTCTAGATTTAAAAGTGCATAGCTCCAGTGGCTTCCTAATATCGGAGGGAAGAGCGTTCCAGACGGCCGCAGAAGCGCCTAAACAAAAAGCCGCTGCTGCGAGGATGACGGGAGTGCACGTGATGCTTTCATTCTCCTTGACAAGATCAGCAGAGTATTGTGGTTTCTTTGTGGAAAACACTTTGTGTGTCGTATTTAAGGCCAGGACGGACGCTCGAAAATCTGGTGATGTGGCCGTGAACACGCCCGGACGCCTTTGCCTCCCCATGTGTGATGTTCGCACACCGCAAACATCAGATGTTGTATCACTCGCCACTGTGTGTTAACCGTGGCCGGGAATCCAACTGAGGTGGACGGATCACTGAGCATAGTGCGCTAACTCTGCGAAGACAACGATTTCCCCCCCCCCCCGCCCCGCCGTATAGCCTTATCAGGCTGTCTATGCAAGTGTAGAGATGACTTGACACACTTTTCTTGAGATGGTTTCTTTATTGAAGACACGTTCACTTGACACAGACGGAGACCCCCACTGCAACAGCTCCGAGCCTCCTGCGCATCTCTCTTATATATCAACACGAGGCACGCCCTCCTTCCTGAACCTTCTCGCTGACTCTGGACTCTCGCTCCACCGGCAGACTCTACCGGCCTCTTCCGTCGCCTGACCATGCTCCCCTTCTCGATCATTCTTGTAGCCACCAGTCCCTTCGTACTCACAGCTGACTCCTCTGTCATTACCTCCCGGAGCCACTAGTGCATTCGCACTGCAGGCTGACTCCCCTGTCATTACCTCCCGCGGCCACTAGTCCATTCGAACTGCAGACTGACTCCCCTGTCACTACCTCCCGTGGCCACTAGTCCATTCGCACTGCAGACTGACTCCCCTGTCATTACCTCCCGTGGCCACTAGTCATTCGCACTGCAGGCTGACTCCCCTGTCATTACCTCCCGTGGCCACTAGTCCACCCACACCGCAGGTAGACTCTACTGTCATTACACAAGTGCTGTTAGCGAGCACAGATGCAGGTCGGTATGACACACCAGGGAGCGGGTGGCCAGCTACCGACGCCTGGCCACTTTTGTCCCCCACAGCGCATACATATACACACACACACGCGTGTACGCGTGCAGCCCTTTCTTTGCTCAATCCACTGCTGGATGAGGACCGCCCCCCCCCTCTCCCACGCCGGTCTGAAATATGCCCCCCACTCCCCCTCCCCTTACCCCACACCCCCTCAGCGCTACCGACTGCGAGGGCTTTTGACAGGGCTCCCACTTGGAAGTCTGTGGCCCGCGTTCTGCCCTCGAGCCCCTCACTGAGCCCCCCTTTCGACGAGCGGTTTGAGACATGGTTCTTCGAGTGGCACCAGGGCTACTCGCAAGAGGAGGTGGCGGAGATAGCCTGCAACATGCTGCGGTGCCTCAACGGTGAGGAGCGAGTGACCGACTCATTCTCAACGTGCACCCCACAAATTAAACAATCGGCTCGATATAATCACTCAACGCGCGGGGGTGGGGGGGGGGGGGGGGCTTTCGCAGCTGATGTTGCACATTTTGGTTAGGGCCACACGTGGTGGGAGTGGTTTTAAATCAACGTTCTTGTCGTTTACCCTCCACCACACGACAACATCGTCACGTTTCCAAACATGTAATCGCTTGTACGTGCCAATTGTATTAATCAGATTCTGACCAATCAAGAGGTCGCCGGTTCGACTCGGGGAATGGTCAACCAGGTTATACCGGTTTCCGACTTTGGAAACCAGTAACGTGTTATGAAAACGGTTACCGGTTCACGACCAGACCATGCAACTTAATCGCCCACAACTGCTTTGTCCGCACCTGAGCTACCAGTTGCGCAACAAAGGAATGAAAAAGCTGTATTCCTGATTTTAACGACCAATCAATTATAATATTATTAAGCTTACCGAGTTTCAAGAGTCTTTTTCTATTTTGAAATATAAAAAAAAATTATTTATTTTTTATTTTACCAGGTAAGGCCTCACTGACCTATATAGCTCATACTCTTTGTTTTTTTCGGTAAAGTCACGTAGGTCAAATTATTTTTTTAAAACAACTAAATTAAATCACGACGTTTCGGAGGCAACACAAGCTTCCGCCTTCAGGTGGAAACCGTCACAGCAATTAATTGCTTGCTGTATCAGCAATTTTGCGGTTTCCACCTGAAGACGGAAGCTTGTGTTTCCTCCGAAACGTCGTGATTAAATGTAGATGTTTTCATTTGTATTTATTTTTATTTTACCTACGTGACTTTACCGAAAAAACCAAAGAGTATGAATCCTTGCAGTCACGAAAGCTTCAAATCTAGATTTCTAAAGCTCCTGTTCAGAAGCGACCTGGCTATCACAAATGAAAGCTCAACGAAGTGGAAATTTAAGGTAGGCCAAATTATCTCAATGCATGTTGATTGTAAACATTGAGATAAAAACCAGAGGACCCGGAGAATAATCCACGCGATCACGGGGAGACCATCCAAAACTCCAAATATACAGGTGTCAGGGTCGGGATCGAACTCACGACCTCCTGTATGCCAGGAGGGGTAGTTAACATTTCGCTGCGATAGGAGGGTCCTGCCAAGTGTTTGAAGGGGCAATGTTGCTGCTACGTGTAATCTCTATGGAGTCATTTGCAGGATCTTTTTTTCAGTATTGGGATGTGATTTTTGGCCAATACCAGCTACATTGTCTCTTTTCGCTGTGGGAGGAAACCGGACAAGCCAATAGGAACCCCATTCAGAACAGGGGGAGAACATACAAACACCACACACATTTAACTCACATGTCCACTCACACTCTCGCTCACTCTGCAGAACAGGGGGGGGGGGGGGGGGGGGAGATAACGCACAGACGCCGCACACAGAAAGGCGCCCGAGTCGGGAAACGAAAACACGGGGCCTTTCTAGCTGTTAGGCTCGTGTGTCACCACTGCGTCGCCACCACCACCGCCGCCGCCACCCACCCGCACCTCCGATTCGCACGGTTGGCTCCGTACGGTGCGAAAGAAGTTCAACATACGCACATACATACCCTGACCCCCCCCCCCTTCACGCCTCGAGAATGCGCAGCACGAGATGACACGCGCCGCTGTCGATCCCGCGTCTCTGCCGTGAGCAACTACTCGCGACTGCTCGCAAATTGGTTGCAGAGACGTGCACACGCGTGAGCGATTCAGTTGCATCGCTCCCCGACTGCGAAAACTTTGCAGCTCTCTTCCGAAAATCAATCGCGAGACTCAGGTTGTTTTATTTTAGGTGCAAAGATGTGAACATGAAATCGAGAGTGCAATCCGGGTACAAGCTTGTGACTTCTCCATGTGATGCCTCATGACCTGAACATGGCCATAATTGTCCACCGTAACTCTTTGAAACCATCTCTCTCTCTCTCTGTCCCTCTGTAGACATGTTTGACCTTGACTCATTCATCGCAGCGATGAACGCCTCTCACAGCCTCCGAACGGACTCTTCCACTGCGTCCACGGGCGCGATCTGGCCGATCGACACCATCAATGGAAAGAGGGTCTCGGGCGCTGACCTCCCAATCGTAATCTCCATTGGGGACCCAGCCTCTGGTACTAACTCCAACGCCCCCCGCTCTTCCGCCAAGCTCTTAGATGTCGATAGAGTGGATAATGTCCCTGCAACTAATGAGGATAGCGCGACTTTGCTTTCTTCAATTAGGAATACGTTAGGTAGTTTATTCAGTAACTCCGCTGATAGAAAAACAGAGGTAGGGGGCGAGAGTACAATGAGTACACCATTATCACCATCATCATCATCACCACCACCACCACCATCAGCAGCACGAACAACATCAGCACCAGAGACATTATCACAACGAACAACGCCATTGCTATTAACCCCACCAACATCACTACCACCATCATCATCAACGTCATCATCAACACCACCACTATTGACTCGCACGTCACCTGAACTACCAACACCATCATTAAGAGCACCACTACCATCATCATCACAATCACCACCACTATCATCACCACCACTATCATCAGCATCATCATCACTATCACTATCATCAGCATCATCATCACTATCACCACCATTATCACCACTACTACTATTATCACCATCATCATCATCACCGATGCTCGCAATATTATCACCACCATCACTATCACAACCGCTAACACCATCATCATCACCATCGTCATCAGAACCACCACCACTGTCATCACAACCACCATTACCAGCAGTACTATTACTATCAACAGCACCACAACCACCACTGGCTCCTCCTCCTCCACCATCATCGTCATCATTACCACCATTGCCACCAAAACTGCCAACACCATCATCACCAGCCCCGCCATCATCATCATCATCAATCTCATTAAAATCATCACCACCATCATCACCAATACTTGCATCATCATCAACACTATTGTTAGCAGCAGCACCATCACTATCAACATCATCACCATTACCACCATTACAATTGCCACCACCACCACCATCGTCACCAACATCTCCATCATCATCATCATCACCATCACCAACACCGAATCGTTCATCAGCATCATCATCCTCGTCATCATCGTCACCAACGTCATCAGTGCACGATGGGCAGAGCGATCCGAACGAAACTTTTCCCACTGCTCGCTCAGACGTGGTGACGGTGAACCAACACGGGAAGGGAACAACTGGCCACGAAGAATTGTTGCAGACCACGGGAATCGCCACCAGCCCGCGTATCGAGTTCAAAGTTCTCCATCCCCGGGGAAGGCCCTGGTCACCCGTGAACGCCGAGGTGTTGGTAGCCCTGAGCGGCATGGCCCTGCTGGTCATGGGAGGGGTGGCTGTGGCGTCGGTCCTGAAGAGAAGGCGGACCCGTGGCCAGTACAAGCTGGTGGCCGGAGTGGCCAAGGTGGAGACGAGGGCCTGACATTGGCGTCTTTTCGTTTGGCCCAGCGTGTTGTTCTGCCGGAGGTTGGCGTCTCATCCGCAGCCTGACTTGACTTGAGTAGCAGGCGTACGTAATGGTAAACATGTCCTTGGGCTGCTGATGTAAAATCACGGCCATTTTACTTCCGACCCGTTGTAATAAGCAGCCAACTTATTCAATTCTGGCTGGGCTGCAGATGAGACGCTAAGGATAGGCGCATGTGTTAAGTTTGGCACCCGTTTTTTGACACTGAAATCCGCGGTGGGCCGGGCTACATTTAGATCCACCCTTCCTTCTATCAATGTATGCCTTGGGATTAGTGGGCCAATGCCATTTTTCCCATTGATTTACCCAGCTGGTCATGATTCGGTTTGGGCTGCGTAGATGCTGAGCGTGCGAACAACAGCAACAATATAATACGACAGGTGAATAAGATGGTAACTTATCGTCAGGTGGCGGTCGTGCCAGGCATTAGCAAAGCAAGCATCAGCTCGAGAATCAAAGATACTCAAGGGGTCACGGATATCATGAAAACATGGGTGGGGCTGTATCAAATATCAGGCGGTGGCTGCGCCTGATGTTGAAATTCTTTTGCACCGTACGTAACCACGGGTAGAAGGGGTTTCACAACATTTGTGTGTGGTGATCGACCAACCCCCGCTGTGGCCTTCATAGTGCTGGCTCACAGACAGCCAGTAGTGTAAATGGGAAACACCACAGGCGATGTGGTGGGGTAAAGCGTTGGGGTATGCACCCACTTCTTCCAAGACGTCTGGCCAACGTCGAGGAGCAGACCAAAATAGCCACTATAATGGCTCTGCTTCAGATATGTGACCCACTTCCTTTTTTTATTTAGTAAATCTTTTGTGGCCTGTTAGGAACCGGCCACACAGCAGGAGGTGAGCGGTGAGTCCACGCGTGGCCCGCCCATTATTTGATTTACCACTTCCATCCGCGCCTCTTTCCCACACTGCGCACTTGTCTCATTCACAGTTTTGGTAAGCCCACAAGCTGACTCTTGCCAAAATGAGTAAAAAACAAACTTCGCTGGAGAGCTTCTTTGAAAAGGGGGAAAAACCCAATGATGAACGCCCCCCCCCCCTCCGTCCGTGAAAAATTTGTCTTCCACGAAACCGGTCCCTGGTGCCAAAAAGGTTGGGGACCGCTGGTCTACAGTATTATTACAGCTGTCGCGATGTTAGGACATGCGTTTGATTTGCTTGATGTTGCTGTGGCGTTTCGTCATTGTTATCCCCTCCGCTTGGTGTGCGCGTGTTTTTCATTTTTATTAAAATATTTAAACATTTAAGATGAGATCTTTTTGCTCTGAAGAAGGGTCATTGCCTGCAATATTGACCGTGATATATATTTTGTTACTTAATTGAGAATGTGTTGAGTGTGTTTTTATATAATAAAGTATTAAAGCTTTCGTGACTGCATAAAATTACTCATTGGTTTTTTTCGGTAAAGTCACGTATGTAGAAATACAATAAAATTATATTAAAACAAAAAACAATCACGACGTTTCGATCACAACGCAAGCGATCTTCATCATGTGTCAAGAACAAATCACGGAGGTAAATACAACAAAAAGATGAGAGACGAGAATTCAACAAACCTGAAAAAACATTATGTGAAGCACATCCAGTCAGGCCAACAACACAGTTAGACACTTCCTGGCGGACCATGAATTTCAGAAGTATTAAATTTCGTGTTCAACCTTTGGATTGCACATACCAGCATAGATACTGACTGTGTACCTCATATTTTTCATTCTATCTATGCTGGTATGTGCAATCCAAAGGTTGAACACGAAATTTAACACTCTTCTGAAATTCGTGGTCTGCCAGGAAGTGTCTAACTGTGTTGTTGGCCTGACTGGATGTGCTTCACATAATGTTTTTTCAGGTTTGTTGAATTCTCGTCTCTCATCTTTTTGTTGTATTTACCTCCGTGATTTGTTCTTGACACATGATGAAGATCGTTTGCGTTGTGATCGAAACGTCGTGCTTTTTTTGTTTCAATATAATTATATTGTATTTATACATACGTGACTTTACCGAAAAAAACAATGAGTGTGTTTTTAGATATATATACTTATGCACCACTGCCAACGCAGCATCACAGAACGAACTCGTTTAACATAGATGTGTATTTGGAATCCTAGTAGTCTCTTAGCTTTGTTCGAAAGTTCTACCCAGACTATGATCTCACGCTATTACCAGTGACCACATGGAGATAAATATTTAAAATACAAACATTCATTGGTTATTATTTTCACCGCTGGCTCAGGGCCGAAAACAGATGAGCAATGATGATGCCTCAATTATCATTGGAGCAGGAAATCACCTCAACCTTTTTTTCACTTGTAGACTGTAGTGTATTGTGGCAACTTGAGCAGACCCGTATGTCCGTAGGTCTCCCTTGCTCCCAAAAGACACTTCTCTTCGTGGCTGAGTGGCCCAGAGGTCAGAGCGCTGAGCCGGCATCATTGAGCACCTGGGTTAAAATCCAGGCAGCCGCCTCTGATTACATCCAAATGCTCAGGTGTGGTAAGTTGATGGTCTCAGCCCGGTCACCAAGTAAAAGTTAATTCAGGCTGGGGATGGAGCGGTAACGCAGTGGTTAGCGTACTGCGTTATGGAATTCAGTGACCTCCATTTGATTCCAGGTCACGACTGACATCAGTAGCGAGTGATATATGAACCGGTTCTGGGTCCCCCTCCCTTCCTTCACCAACTCGCACTGGTGAAGTATGGTCAAACAATCCCCATGGCCAATACAACATGGGAGAGGTCTTCATCAAGCAGTGGATTCACATGGCTGATCATAATGATGATGATGATGAAGATTTGGTGGTTGGGCTGAGACCGTCAACTCCCTACAAATCTTCGATTTAAAGCTTTCGTGACTGCAAGGATTCATCTTCTTTGGTTCTTTCGGTAAAGTCACGTAGAATGAGAATAAAACGTCGTGAGAATATTATTGTGTTATTTTATTTTATCAATTTATTATTTTATTCTCATTCTACGTGACTTTACCGAAATAACCAAAGAAGATGAATCCCTACAAATCATCATTCTTTACAAATCAGACATGGTCAGAATGACTGTTGGGGCAAGTGCTGTTAACGAGGGCCGATGAAGGCCGGCATGGCGCACGAGGGGGTGGGTAGCCAGCACCACGCCCGGCCAGTAGGGACGTGGCCACACACCATGAGATGGGGGACTGATCGACCAACGCTCATGTGCCGTTTGGAGAGCCTCTATGAACCCACGGAAGATGATCATTGGGCCCAGGAATTAACACACATGTTAACACCAAGGGGTTCAGAATGGTTAGACCCCTACTGAAAGACCTTGGAGAAAAGAAAAAAAACACAAAAAACTGAGCTAGAAATTCAATAAACTGACGGGAAACCCCCCAAAAAACGAGGCACAGAAATACTAAACTTGTCACGCATGCAGGCAAGGGCGAGTCCACTTTTGACGAAAAAAGGGGGGGGGGGTTACGAAATGCGTTTACAATAGGCAATATGAGGCTAATGTTATCACTTAGGGAACTCCCCCCACTCCATAGTAAATATCTTATCGATATTGATAATGCGCGTGCATACCTGTCAACCCATACGGTTTACTCCGTATTCTTGTGCAGGGAAATTGAGGTTTCAGGTCCTATACAGTAGGGGTCCCCAACCCCCGGGCCACGGACCCGTACCGGTCCGTGGCCTGTTAGGAACCGGGCCGCACAGCAGCAGCAGGAGGTGAGAGCGGTGAGTCCGCACGTGGCCCGCCCCCATTATTTTGTTATTTACCACTTCCGTCCGTGCCTCTTTCCCGCACTGGGCACTTGTCTCAGTCACAGTGTTGGTAAGCCCACAAGCTCTAACCCCTAGTAGCCACAATGAGTAAAAAACAAACGTCGCTGGAGAGCTTCTATGAAAAAGGGGAAAGACCCAATGATGACCCCCCCCCGGTCCGTGAAAAAAAATTGTCTTCCACGAAACCGGCCCCTGGTGCCAAAAAGGTTGGGGACCGCTGCTATACAGGGTACAGCCGTTTCAATACATGCAAAAAAAGATTTGTCTATTTGTGTTTCTCCCTTGTGATGGGACTTTGTAGGATGAATGTTAAGATTTATAAGGGGCACGGGTGACCAGTAAGGTCTGAATTTGTCTGGAATAAGGTAGTGCACTGATAAGAGGTTGACAGGTATTATAGACAGAGACCCATAGAGATCCATAGACCCACAGAAATACAGAGAAACCCAAAGAGATACATAGAGACCCATAGAGACAGAGATATAGCATAGATGTCAACCAATACGGTTTACCCCGTATTCTTGTACAGGTCCATATGGCGTACAGCCGTTTCAATACGGGTAAAAAAAGAATAATTGTATATTTGTGTTTCTCCCTTGTGATGGGACTTTGTAGGATGAACGTTACGATTTATAAGGGCACGGGGTGACCAATAAAGTCTGAATTGCACTGAGATAAGGCGTTGACAGGTATGTCATATGGACATTTATAACAGCCAAATAATCTTAATACTCTCATCGTGTTTGTGCACCGCCGACCAACGCAGGCATAATCGCTTTATTCTCCAACTAGCGTTACTACCCGGCTTCGCCCGGGACTTGGATTCTTGTTTTGGATTACGGTAATACACGGCCTACGCGGAGGGTGGGGGGGGGGGGATGCGTGACGTCAACAGGCACACTGAGTAACGCTTCCGCATGCGGGTAACATAACAGATGTGACGTCACCGCTCACTTGCGTGCAAAATATATCCATTTTTGCGCCCCCCCCCCGTCCAAAAATATACAAAAGTCTATTTTTATAAACTTGATTTGGCGCTTTCGTGACTGCAAGAATTACTCTTTGTTTTTTTCGGTAAAGTCACGTAGAAATAAGAAATAATAATAAAATTACATGATAGCATACGACGTTTCGATTGCAACGTAAGCAATCATCATCAGGCATAGAAGAGCTAAATTTAAGAGAGAGAGGAAACACAGAACCGCAGATATATACAGACACCTAAGTAGAGGGAGTTAACAGAGACACAAAGAGACACAACGCATGGAGCACAGAGAGATAGGGTCTCTGTGCCGAGGCCTTAGCATGTAGGGGAGACAAAGAGAGATGGAGAAGCACATCAAATCGAACAAGATTTAGTAAAATTTGGAAACAATATAATGCAACACAGAGGGTCGGTCAAAACACAATTAACGCATGATCTGGCTGATTACGTTATTTCAAAGATTGCTAAATTATAGGTTAAGAGTGATAGAGTACAGATCGCAGACACACATATAGGCATCCAAGCAGAGAGAGTTATCACAGAGACACACAGAGAGAGACACACACATGGGACACAGTGAAAGATCGCAGACACACATATAGGCATCCAAGCAGAGAGAGTTATCACAGAGACACACAGAGAGAGACACACACATGGGACACAGTGAAACAGTCCGTCTGTGTCGAAGCCTTAAATAAGAGGGAGAGGGGGGGGCTGAGAGATAAAGGGATACAAATTAGCAGGGACTGACTTGGAGCAAGTAGAGGCACACACACACATGCCGCCGCAGCGTGGGGAGGAGCACAGAATCAGATTAGCATGCCCACAGGGACTGTGGAGAGAGACAAGAAGACGTACACGTAGACACAAAGGCAGAAACACAGGTAGAGACAACACAGAGACACAAACTCAAGTTAAGTGTGACATTTGAGAGAGAGACAAGACACATACACGGATACACAAACAGAGACAACGCAAAGACACAGAATTTATATCTCCCCGTAGAGGTGGTTCAAACTTGATTTGGCGCTTTCGTCACTGCGGGAATTACTCTGTTTTTTTTCGGTAAAGTCACGTAGAAACAAGAAATAATAATACAATTACATAATAGCATACGACGTTTCGATTGCAACGCAAGCAATCATCATCAGGCACAGAATAGCTAAATTTAAGAGAGGAAACACAGAACCGCAGATATATATAATATACAGACACCTAAGTAGAGGGAGTTAACACAGAGACACTTTTTGCATTGTGTACTTGAAACGTGAAACTACCCACATGCCAAATTTCAAGTTTGTTGCATGTCGGGAAGTATGCTAAACATTTTGAACAGACACACATAATCACAAATTTCCCTTTTCACATATATAGAAGATTCGTTTATTTTTTTTGTTCCATTTAAAAGAAACAAACCCCGCCCCCACACACATTTAGAGTACAATCAATGCCCCTGTGCGGCGAGGCGTCTGGGCCTGCTGACGGTCACGCGCGACGTCACTTCC